CAGAGGAACAGTGACAGACAGGAAGGAACATGAGACCATAGAGCCCATAAGGTCATACCTTCCTTACTCACCCTGCTGTAGTCAGGGTTTGTAAAGGAAGCAATTTAATGTAGGACACATAATTTATAGGATTATTTTATAACAGTCACCCAAATAGTTAAATACAAAAAAGTGTAGGAAATCTGTCCACACACTAAAGACCAAAAGAATCCCGCTGAGAGCCTGGAAAGTGTTTTGCATGAGTCCATCTGGAGCCCTCCCCTGATAGCACCTCCTCACAAGTCGAACCAGAGGCTTAGAGCCCACAACAGTGTCTCATGCAAGTCTGTTTCTTGAATCTGTGCTGGGAAGGCCCACAGTTCAGTGGTGGAAGCTAGAAAGCTAGAAAGTCTGTGCCAGTGGGATGAAGGATCTGCAGCAGCAGGCTGAGGGATCTGAACTAGAGCTAGGAAGTGCTGCTCAAGCTAAGGACTGGAGTTTCCCTGAAAGGTACCACTGCCATCCTCAGTGACAATGAGGTTGCGAGCTCCTCTGATGATGGGAACAGCTGAGTTCATATCAGGAAAGCCAGGGCAGCAAGCCTCTTCAGGAGACTGAACATCAGCTTGCAGCTTCTCCTCCCGAGCCAGAAGCGTTGCTCAAAGCAAGGGTCAGAGCTCCCTAAAGTGAACTGCACTTTCTCACCAAAAACAAGGTCCTGAGCTCCTCCAACAATGAGAACAGTGAGTTCACCTAAGGAAAGCCAGCATGACAAGCACCTCCAGGAGAACCAGCAGCCCCACCTATTCCTCTCCAACTCTCCTCTTACATTTCTGGCAACAGTCCTCAGGTGGCCCTCTATACCCAGCACAGTACTGATTCAGTTCAGCTGGGTTTTACAAGTTGACCTCCAGTTGTCAATCCACTACACACACAGACACACCCAAGAGTGTGTCTTACTAATTCCCAAGGTAGGCACCAAGCCCATCAACTTGAAACAGTTAAGCTTAAATGTAATAGAAATACAGCACTTTACATATGAATAACTACGGTATAATCAATATACAGAACCTTCAAAATCTTGTGTGAAAAAAAGCAAGTTGTAGAATAAGACAAATTGATATATTCATTTATTTATGTAAAAGTTATAAAATTCCAAAGGAATGGTGACATATAAATCCATGACAGTGGTTTTGTAGGGGAGGGATTCAGAGTCATGGAATGGAGGCAGAGATACCAGGTAGGTAAACTGTCGGCAACACTGTAGCATCGCTTTTGTGATGCTTTGAACCATCTTCTCCAAGTAAGATATGGTGAAGTTATAATCCTGAGTAGCTCAGAATGTGTCTTTATTTGGAAACAGTTCGATCGCAGATGGAATTAGTTAACCTCCTTTCATAGTTAACACTCTGATCCATCATGGAAGATAGACGCCTGCATGAGAAGATGGCATGTGAAGATGGTAACCTAGAACACAGGGGACGTGAAGGTGGACGCTGGCATGATGCACTGGCAAGCCAAGGAGCGCCCAAAGCTGCCCTCAGGTCACCAAGAACAGGCGATGGCTGGACAGAGCACTCTCAGGAGGGCCCCTCCTAGCTCACACCTTGATTTTGGACTTCTGGTTTCCAAACTGTTATTTTTTTTTTTTTACTTTTTTTTTTTTTTTTTGCAGAACCGGGGATTGAACTCAGGCCCTTGCGCTTGCCAGGGAAGTGAGTGCTTATCCACTGAGCCATCTCCCCGGCCCCCTGAACTTTTAAAACAAACATCTCTTGTCACAGGCAAACAAGTAGAGTCCTCAACTGGGTAGTAGGTTCATGGGTTTGTTATACTTTTGTAATTTAAGTGTGCTGCATAACTCAGTGTATGTATCAAATGATTTCATAATAAAAACTGAAAGACAAAACTTGTTTTCTTTACTACCACTATCAATCTTTATGGCACATGAGTTACTCTCCTTGACTTGTATGCTGTTGTATTTCAAATTCATTGTCACTGAGTTCCTATTTCTCTGACTTTAATCATATTGTGTGTATCTTCTGGACACCTATCAGTAGTTATCTCCTGATAGGGTGGTGAGACCTTTGCCTCCCGGTGTGTGAAATTACATCCAGGTTGTGGGGGCGCAGGTCACAAAAGTAAGTTCCTTCTCTCAGTATCTCAGAAGCCACACTGAACACGGGCTGTGTGCTTTGTCCACACAACATAATCTCTGCTTCCTACAATCACTACCGGTAAAAACTGAGCTCTCAGTGCATTTCTTGAATGGATGGGAAAGTGAGTAGGTTTATTAATGTCCACTTCTAGAAAGAAATGATAAAATCGCACTGCTTTTCAGAAGGGTTTATCAACCTCCCCCTACTTTTTTGTCTGTTAGTTCTCTTCATCTTCCCATTCACCAATTCCCAAAGGTTATCTTTGGAGCTCTGAATAATGGATCAGATCTGAGCTACATAAGGCCAGAAACAATGTGTACATGTGTAATTTCCTAGCAGGAAGCTAACTGTTTATTCTTCCTCACAGATTAGCCCTTTGTTCCACTAATGAAGGAGATGACAAACAGGTGTTTTTGAATTTCTTATTAATACTTAAGTAGAATAGTCCTAATTAGGGAATAGAATCTAAATGAGACACTTTAATCATATATATATATATAAAGTAGATTTTAAAATAATGTGGTTATGTAGTACTTTGAAAAAGAACATGATTTTGAATATATTACATAATAAATGCTGCAATTTGACATTGAACGGAGAATTTCTTTTCTTTCCTGCTTTTTTTATTTTCCCCTACTCAGGAGTTACAGAAGCTGAAGTTACAGAACTTGGGAATTTTCGAAATGGAGAATTACAATATTTAAAGTAGTAACACTTATTACTTTAAATATTTGGCGAGCAGCCGGGCATTGTCCTGAGTGAGGATGAAGTGGAAAATAACACTTCCGTAGGAATTCATTTTGCTGGAAATGAATACAAGGAAACTAATAATTTCAATGTATGGCTAATTACTATTAATCATTAAAAGAAAGAGCAGTGCCTTGTGTCATTCATATTTTGAGTGTGACTTACTGCACAGTTGTTCTTTGGCTACTGGTCATCCAGGTATAATATTTCCCTGCCAACCAAAACATTTGATTAACATTCAATTCTCTAACCATAACTCAGCAACTGTTTCTTTTCCAAGTTATGATCATATCAGTGAATACAATTTCAATATCTGGCACAGGAGAAAACAGTGCAATCGTGTTTTTCTACAGTTAATAGCTAATTTATTTTATCTAATTCTTGCATCTTATTATACTTTCCAATTTCCAGGAATTTATGACCCCTCCTGATTGGAGAATGGAGAAGGGAATTTATTTCCACGTGGCACCACCAGTTTTTCATATGGGCAATAGCTATATTTTACTAAAACTTGGGTGGGTGAGATAGCTCAGCTGTCTAAAGCACAGTTACTCCTGGGACCACATGCTGGGCCAGCCCTGCCCCCAGGACCAGCTGAGCCCGAGACACACACACACACACACACACACACACACACACACACACACACTGTACTAAAATTTAAGCACCGAAAGTCAGTAATAAATTCACACAGTGCTTAGCAGGAGAAATGAGACACAGTTAATAGGAATGGACCAATGTAATGTTAGCAAAACCGCCATTATAGTACCAAATGGCTAGAATGATAGTCATTCACAAAGTGAATAATTTTTATTGAAAACTGATCTTCACAAAACTTGTTAGCTACACGTCTCTTTGGGTATATACACCACCAGAAATTCTTTCACCAGTCAGTGAACTTTCATAACCACGAAAAGGTCACGAATCTTTCATCTGCAAGTATTCTTCTGGAATGTACAAAGGTGAGCTAAAAATGAGGTGATTGTTTCAATTTAAAGATTACAGTAAAAGACCCCTTGATCCCCGTCCAAAGCCTCTGTCCTCTGGAGTCTGTCGTGATTGTCTCTTGCCGGTTTCTGCAGCAGTTCTGCACATCCTGTGTCCTGACTGTCTTTAGGAGGTGCGATCCAAAGCGCAACCCATGTGGCTGCCTAGTGCCATCCGAGGCAAAGGCAGGCCCGGAAAAACATTAAGGTGTGTCCTCTTCCACCTTATTTACTGGATCTCACACCGTGTGACTTCTAGGTCTTCCTCAAAGTCAAAATGACCATTAAAAGCAAATATTTTGAATTGATTCGGACTGCGAGGCAGCCACTCATGAAAAAGGGCTTTCGGAACTGGAGGGGAAGTGTTGGGGGCCATGAAGACAATGCACCTTTACTGTGATGTTCTTTTAAATTTAAACACACACTGTATTTTTCAATCACACCTGATATCTTGCCCCTTTACTTTTTCCTTCTGCAGAGAGGTGGAAAAGGTCCCGTCCTCCGTGTGAGAGGGACCTGGGCTGTGTTTCCAATCACAACAGTTGGCCGGAACACCTGCTTCTCACCCCCTGGGGATACCGGTCAGGAAGTTCTCCTTAGAGGCCCGGCTTCTTTCTACCTGCCGTCTTCAGGGCTGTCGCGCTGGACTTGAAATGAGTCGGGTCTGCCCGCTGACAGCCCAGCACTCCCTAGCGAGCCTGGCTCCTGATTTCCATCTTGAAGCCTCCCAAGTGGCCCCTTTGGCTGCACAATGAGTTTACCCAGAACAAAGCTGTCCGTAGCCCGTCTGCCTGCGGGGAGGGCAGCACCGCTGCGGACAGGAGGGCCGTGGCTTCCAAGCCCGGTGCCTTAGTCCCTCCCGGTGCAGCTCCGGGCTGGTGGAAAAGGGGGCGGAGAGGACCGAGCCGAGGAAGGGGCGGAGGTTACCGAGCTCTGCATCCCGCCCAGGCTGCGTACGCGGCTAGGAGCTGCTGGTCGCTCGCGGGCAGAGGCCACCAGCGGGTTACGCGGGGGGAACCGAGCCCGCAGGCGGCGGCGGCGGCGGCGGCGGCGGCGGGGCGAACTGTTCCTGGCCGCGCGGGCGCTAGTCCGGCCGGGGCGGGGCTGCGCGCCATGGCGCACGGAGCGGCGCGCGGGAGGCTCCGCGGACAGCTCAGCGGGCGGCCGCGGACCCCGCGGTAAGAGCTCCCTCCGGAGCCGGTGCGGGCTCGGCTCGGTCCTGCTTGCGTTAAGCAGCCCACACGGTGAGACGCCCGACGGAGCTGCTGGGGCCGCGCCTGGAGACAAGTTTGGACCACATTGTGCAGGTTGCCCGGACCTGGAGAGGGAGAAGGGACTCGCTGAGCCTTTCTGACCGTGAGCTGGGCGGCTGGGATGCGGTAGAGAAGGGACGTCGGAGGAGGGAAGCAGGCAAAGAAAGGGAGCAACCTACATCTCTTTCGGGGTCTCCCTGCGGGCACCCCTTACCAGGCGTTTGGCGCCCCCCTGGGTGGGAGGGCAGCAACCCTTCGGTGTTGGAGCACTTGCAGAAAGTTTGGCTAACTTAGAAGGTTTAGGGAGGATATTGCAAGCCAATGCCTGGGGCCCAGGGCTGGGGACGGCTCAAAGTCAGTAAAAAAGACCCGGGAGGCGACCGCCTCGGAGCGGCTCGAGCGGCTCCGCTCCGGCGGAGCAGGTCGCCGGCAGGGCTTGCTCCGAAATTCCCAGCCTCCCGGGAAGCTACCTTCGTGGGAACCGCCGAGCAGAGGAGCTCCGGGCGGGGTGGCTGCGGTCGGTCGTGTGTATCCTGGGTCTGTGACTCAAACCTCAGCTCCCCAGGGAAAGCATAGCACATAAATACTCCGTATTCACGTTACAAGCTCCGAGGGTGTAACGTAAGGGCGGGTGGGTGGAAGTCCCTGGGGTAAGCGCGGACGCTTCGGTCCCCATCACAAACACAGGTGGTGGAGAGACCCGGAGCCCTTGCCCCATTCTGCCTTCGTGGGATAGTGGTGTGCGGTGTCATTTAGGTTTTAGGAATAAATTGAACGTCAAGGAGTTTGCTGGTCCTCCTTCCGAAGTTTAGGGAAGAGCGACATCTGCGTGAGGACCAGCAGGTGGCCCACCCGGGGAAGAATCTGCAGTTTGGGGACGAAGCCCAACAGAGAAGAGAGAAAAGAAATTTTAAAAGTGCGTTTAGTGAAATAGATTGTTGTGCTTTCAATAACTAGTGGATTTAGGGCTAATCATCTTAGTGATTTTATAATCCTTACGAGCTTTTAAGGTGTCGGTGAAGTGTCAGAAGGACACTTAGGAGGTGGCTGTTTGGAGAAGCAGGTCAACCAAGAAGAGGTCACAACTCTGGCACCTTATTAGCTTGAAAAGAAGAGTGAGCCCTAGGCAGATGGTGCTGCTCTTGCGATGATGCAACCTTGCCCGTGATAGGCTGGACAAATCGGATCCCACCTTAGAACGCCGGACACTTCAGTCTTAAATAGCAGATGGGCAGAAATTAGGTGTTTAGAATTCCTCTCTGTTTACTTACAGATCCCTGGACTGCAAGCTTGCTCGGCTGTGACAGGGAGATGCCTTGAGTGACCGGCTGGGATCTCCACAACGATGTCCATGAACAATTCCAGGCAGCCAGAGTCTCCAGCAACTGTGCTTCTTTCAAACACCACCTGCCAGACGGAAAACCGGCTTTCGGTATTTTTTTCAGTCATCTTCATGACAGTGGGGATCCTATCCAACAGCTTGGCCATTGCCATTCTCATGAAGGCATACCAGAGGTTTAGACAGAAGTCCAAAGCATCCTTTCTGCTTTTGGCTAGTGGGCTGGTCATCACAGACTTCTTTGGCCATCTCATCAATGGAGCTATCGCAGTGTTTGTGTATGCTTCTGATAAGGACTGGATCCGCTTTGACCAGTCAAACGTCCTTTGCAGTATTTTTGGTATCAGCATGGTGTTCTCTGGGTTGTGCCCACTTTTTCTAGGCAGTGTGATGGCCATTGAGCGGTGTATTGGGGTCACCCAGCCAATATTTCATTCCACAAAAATTACATCCAAACATGTGAAAATGATGCTGAGTGGCGTGTGCCTGTTTGCTATTTTTATAGCTTTGCTGCCCATTCTTGGGCATAGCGAGTATAAAATTCAAGCCACGAGGACCTGGTGTTTCTACAACACTGAAGACATTGAAGATTGGGAAGATAGATTTTATCTTCTACTTTTTTCTTTCCTGGGCCTCTTATCCCTTGGCGTTTCCTTCTGTTGCAATGCCATCACAGGAATTACACTTTTACGAGTTAAATTTAAAAGTCAGCATCACAGACAAGGCAGGTCTCATCATTTCGAAATGGTCATCCAGCTCCTGGCTATCATGTGCGTCTCCTGCATTTGCTGGAGTCCATTTCTGGTAAGCACCTCACATTTTCGTAGTTTCTGCTTTCCTAGGTATATCCATATTCAATGTAAGACTATTGTCCTTTTTAAAGTTGTGGGTCTGGAACTTCAGTTTTTTAAATATTGGCATTTTATTTCTTCCTACTCAAAACTGATTTTAGCACTCAGTTCTGGTTTTGAATTAAGTTACATGTGATGTACACAGTTATTTTTTTTTCCGCAGGCCATGAATTGAAAGAAATATGTTGCTAAACAATTCTAAGCATAGGATTATCTGTTCACATTCACAGTAACATAGAACATTTTTAATAGAAATAACATATTTTTGTCATTAGTTTTTAAAATCTAAAAAAGATCAGCTATATTATATATTGGATCAGAATGCAGTAAGTTTTGGTAGAAAGTGATACAGATTTCCAATTTGCAGGGAAAGCATAGTAGCTAGTGGATTCTTCTAAACATGTAATGAGTGGTCTCAAGTTGCACAGTATGGTGGTGAGTAGAGATAGTTGGACAGTTTAGATGAGGTTGAGGGAAAGCTAAGGTGAAAAAAAAAAATCACTCATTCACTAAGCCAAGAACAGTGCTAATTGCTCGGGGAGATGTCTGATCGGCAGGAAGGCCAGAGAATCTTCATTTTTTTCTTTTTAAAAGTTTAGCTGGCAGTTCTCTGTGATATATTTGTACATGAATTTGGAGATGAAATCTAAGTTTAAAGAATTAGCAGCAAAGACAGGTAATTTGTACTATTTTCCAGACAAAAGACAAAAATCATACTTATGAGAGATAATAGGACTTTAACTCATACCCAAATTTTCCTTTATGATGGAGAGAGTGATAGAAGAGAAAAAAGTCCTTCTGTAGTGAACAAGTGACAGCCAAGATTGTTTTCATCCCTTTTCTCTGGAACTTGAGAGTAATGAGCTGACATCCAGAGGTGATGTATGTTATACATACAAAAGAGAGGCTGAGGCAAATGTAGACATGAGGCATGGATGGGCGAAGGCTGTGGTCCTGTCTTTTTTGGTAGCACGAGGGCGCCTAGCAGTAAGGCACTTGTCCTGAGCCCCTCACAAACCCATTGTCCAAGAGTTGCGGGCAGTGCAGCTTTGCTAAATAATCCAAATGGTATTGGTACACATAAAATTTTCAAGGACTCAGGTGGTAGATTAGAATTGATTTTATTTTACCAAAGGACTTTTCAAATATTTTTTAAATTCATTTTACTACTTCACTGTTTGAATTTAGGTTTCAGCTGTCCAATTATTTAAATTTCCTACTAGGACTCCCTCAAGAGGAGACTGACTCTATCAATGACTAGGCAATCTTTAGGGGCCTGATTATTGATAGTTTAGGAGATCTCAAGTGGAATCACTACAAAGATTTGATCTGTGCCTGTGGTATACTTGTTTGAATTGCAGACGAGAGAGCCATTCTAGCACTTGGGACTACATCTTCATTTTTTAGGAGTTTAGTTTTTACCACATGGCAAAAGAATTTGATGAGAGGAATATTTTTATTTTTCCTAGCCAGGCTTTGAAATAAAGTAGGTTTTCTCAATAAAAAAAAATAATAAGCCTAAGTGAATTGAAATTAACTTGGTGATTGTGAAGGGAATTGGGAAGAGAGGGAGAGAAGTAGTGGCTGAACATGTTAACAAATTTTTAAAATAAAGGTCCCAGTACCGAGGAAACTTTTAATGAACAAGTGCTTTCAATGGGAGAAAAATAATCCAGACAGCAGTAATGATGTGCTTTGCATTTATTTGTTCTGAGGCCTCTCAAAAATTCTGTTTAGTTTTGGCTTTTGACTATGAGAACTAGGAGTGATTGACTACTGATAGACTCTGGAAGAAAGGAAAAATTCAGACTCTTGCGATATATATTTGAAATTACATGTTCTCTAAGTTTCTTTCCTGAGTTTTTGGTTTCCTTTTTGGAACTCCTGTATCAATGCTCCTAAATGTTTTTAAGGGTGAAAATTGTTTTTGTGTTAGAAGCATAGTAGGGGCATCACAGTACTCCATAATGTTTTAAAGCATCCTTTGTGTCCTTAGTTCCCTTTGTGGAGAATTTAGGACTTCATGGCAATTTCTGGCTGGAAGATATGTTACTTTGGTGGTTTGAGCATTAAGTTCCTTGGGGATTCAGTTAAAGTCACCAGAAAGGTATAAATGTTTCTTCTTCTTCCTCCTCCTCCTCCTCCTCCTCCTCCTCCTCCTCCTTCTTCTTCTTTTTTTTGGCAGAACCAGGGATTGAACTCAGGCCCTTGAGCTTGCCAGGCAAGCGCTTACTCTGCTGAGCCATCTCTCTGGCTCCTTCCCTGGTAGATAGGTATAAATGTAATCCTAGTAGAAATCTCAGGCTTGAAAATACCAGAACAACACTTGCCACTGACACTTCTCCTTTTTCTCGAATGTGTCTGGGAGGATTTGCATAGATATTAGTGGCTGTGTCATTTTCCTACCTACCTTGTGTTTTAAAAGCGTCTTATATATAAGGTACCTCTGAAACCAAGTTGTTAGATTCCCTTCGGTAACTCTGTGGAAGATATAATATAATGGTGGCAGCTTCCAGGTCAACTCTCTGCTTCACCCTCTTGCCTACTGTCTGCGACTGATAAGTTTAAGTGTGGATGTGTGCCGTGGATGGACATATGCACGTACTGTTCTACCTGCGTTCACTTTCATTTTCAAGCTTTCTATCAAAACAAAAGCCGGTTTATATGCTAAAATTAGGGAATGATTAAGGTGCAGATGATGTCCTTGTTTACCAGGACACAGGCATCAAAACCTTATCGATAATGGCATAATTTCTAGAGCTATTTAAATTTATAACAATATTTTAGGGACCAGGGAGATGGCTCAGTGGCATAAGCACTACCCTGGCAAGTGCAAGGGCCTGAGTTCAATCTCTGGTTCCGCCAAAAATAAATAAATTTGTAACAATGTTTAATATTTTGCAGGTTGAGTTTTTCTAAAATTTAAGTTTATTGGTACAATATTGATCACATTCATCATAGGGAATCGGCACCTATTGCAGGTTGAGTTTTAACCAATGCAAAGTAAGTGAGTTTTGTTTAGATTCTGTGTTAGATTTCTAAACTTTTATGAGTACGTTTATGCTTATAGAGAAATGAGGGAGGAACATAGCTCACGTGTAACCCTACATGCATCACCCTTCATATTAACATCAGGGATTGGTAGGGCATGTTTGATACAATTGATGAGACAATGCTAATCCATTGTTACTAACTAAAGTCTGTTTAGGGCTAGGAAGATAGCTCAGTGGCATAAGTGTCTGCCCAGCAAGTGCAGGGTTCTGAGTTCAATCCCCAAAGTCTCTTCATATTAAATTTATCTTTTGTTGTCCATTCAATGGTTTTAGACAAAGGTATCATGACGCATAGCCATCATTATGGTGTCATGTAGCATAGCAATAATAATGAATTCCTTCACTGCCCTAAACTCCCTCTGTGACTTTAAAGAGTGTGTTATGTTTTATTTTCCAAAAAAAGGGGAAATGTGCTTTACTTCCCCCAGAAAGTGAGATTTAGAAATATAGCACGAACATTATATTTCCTTAAAATTCTAACAGTAAGGGCTTTAAAATTTATTCAATATCTGGGTTGCACAATTATAAACATAACTAAATTATATAAATTGATTTGAATATAATCCATACAGAAAACTTTAGGAGACTAGGAGAGGCATTTAGCTTCCATTTTTCTTTTTATTTTAGGGAAGGGTCTACAGGGTATTCAGGGTCTCTACTAGATCAGACTCATAGTGATCTGCCTGTTTACAGCCTCCCAAGAGCTGGGATTACTGGCCTGTGCCACCACGCCCAGTCTCAATTGCTGTCTCAGTACGCCCTGGAGGCAGGGCCCACCAGCAGATCCAAATCCCCAGCCCCTGTGCCTGCTTGCAGGTGCTTTAATCTGCTGAGCTATTTGGCTGGCCCTACAGTTCCATTTAGAACAGAGATAAATACAAAAGTCTTTGAGAGTCAAACAGCAATTATAAAATTATCTGACTTCTTCCAAGGTAGACTGCTTCTTCTAAGGAAATAGTCTTGAAGGCATCCTTTTGAAGTCTCTGTTGTGTGTGTGACTGGAGGAAATACTGACCAGAACTTTCAAGAAATATTTTGTGTTTCTGCCTTTGGAAATACTGACCAGAGCTTTCAAGAAATATTTTGTGTTTCTGCCTTTACTCAGGCAAAGACTCTTTTTAATGATGCCTTTCTAGAAAACACGGCTTTAGAAGGAATTTATTATTCCTGTTATGTGTAGTTTGCCAATTTGGCAGAGCAATAAATACTTGTTGACTGGTTGACTGTAACACAAGTAGTATGAATGTGAAGAGATTGGAAATGATTGACCAGAATATGGGTTCTCAGTGTTGTAGGTAAGAGTTAAACAAACACTGAAACCAAATGATAATTTTTAATCTGCTTAAGTCAGCAATTATAGATTTATGAACTATTAAAGCAGCTGACTTTTACTAGAATGCAGGATGTTCGTTTTGCTGTCCTCAGGGATGCAAGATCATTATGAATGGGGGAAAAGTATAAAGTATATGGAGAACAAAATTATTCCTGATGTCATGGAGTTTACCCAAGAAATATGTTTGCTCTCTCGTAGCTATACAGTTGAAGCTTGAATTTTCTAAGGTATTTACACTTATGCTAATATTTTTGGTCAGTGTAGTTAAACATTTGGTCACTAGGGTGATTATCATGTTTGGATCAAAGAACTGAACAGTTAATTGAACTTTGACTGAAATTGCTAACGTTACTGGCTAGTCATGATGACTAGGTCCTAGACAGCTAATGTCAAAAGATGGAGTCACAGGACATCACAGAGCATACTGATTACGAAGTGAAGTTCATATTCCCTAAAGGTGACTCTCATCTTAGGTATATGAGTGTGTTTGTGCATTACCTCAACAGCAAAAGGATGGGGAATAGGTGTCTGTGTGTTTTACATGAAAAGAAAATATGGAAAACATGT